AGAGGCTGGAGAGGAAAACTTCTTCATCTTTGGCATGCGGGTGGAGGATGTGGATAAGCTTGACCAAAGAGGGTATGGGGGTCAGGGTTCATGGGGAAAAGACACTCAGGTGTGGCTGCTCGAGGGTGGTGCTGGGAGCCAGAGGCATGTCTGCAAAGACTGGTCCAGGCCCAGCAAGGTCTTGGTCACGGCCAGCAGGATTCTGGGAAACTTTAGAGGGTGCTTACAGCAAATAAGCTTAATGAAATGGGGAAAGAAAGAAGTCACACAGAACCGAAGGAAAAGGAAGAAAATATTATATCAACCCTAAGAGATAATATTGTTTGGAAAATGGAAGTAAAAAAATCCTTGCTCCCTGGAAGTCATGGGCAAAAGGGAAATATGGGCACAGTAGTTACAAGGGGCCTATGGTCAGAAACAGTTCTTCAGAGGAGACATTATCCTGGATTTGTTTTTATTTTATTTTTATTTATTTATTTATTTTTTGAGATGGAGTCTCGCTCTGTCACCCAGGCTGGAGTACAGTGGCATGATCTCGGCTCACTGCAAGCAGCTCCGCCTCCTGGGTTCACGCCATTCTCCTGCCTCAGTCTCTCGGGTAGCTGAGACTACAGGCACCCGCCGCCATGCCTGGCTAATTTTTTGTATTTTTAGTAGAGATGGGGTTTCACCATGTTAGCCAGGATGGTCTCGATCTCCTGACCTTGTGATCCACCTGCCTCGGCCTCCCAAAGTGCTGGGATTACAGGTGTGAGCCACCGTGTCCGGCCTGTTTATTTTTTTTTGAGATGGAATTTTTCTTTTGTTGCCCAAGCTGGAGTGCAGTGGCGCTATCTTGGCTCACTGCAACCTCCACCTCCTGGGTACAAGCAATTCTCCTGCCTCAGCCTCCTGAGTAGCTGGGAGTACAGGTGCATGCCACCACACCTGGCTAATTTTTGTATTTTTCGTAGAGACGGGGTTTCATCATTTTGGCCAAGATGGTCTATATCTCCTGACCTCGTGATTCACCCGCCTCAGCCTCCCCAGTGCTGGGCCTACAGGGGTGAGCCACTGTGCCTGGCCTATTTATTTTTAGTTTTTTGAGACAGAGTCACTCTGTCACCTAGGCTGGAGTGCAATGGCATGATCTTGGCTCACTGCAGCCTCTGCCTCCCAGGTTTAAGTGATTCTTTCACCTCAGCCTCCCAAGTAGCTGGGATTACAGGCATCCACCGTTACGTCCAGCTAATTTTTGTAGTTTTGTAGAGATGGGATTCTACCATGTTGGCCAGGCTGGTCTGGAACTCCTGACCTCAAGTAATCCGCCTGCCTCGGCTTCCCAAAGTCCTGGGTTTACAGGCATGAACCACCGTGGCCTGCGTGAATCCTGGAGAGAGATTTTCCATGTTATTAGTCTTCAGAAATATTTTAAATGTTTGTATAACATTCCATCCTATGAGCATGTCACAACTTATTTAATCAATTCCATATGGCTGAACACTGAGGTTGATTTCCGGTTTGTTAAATATTATTGTGATGAGCAACCTTTTAACATCTACGTCCACATCTGATGACTTCGTTAAGATAATTATCGGAAAGGCAATATTTCTGAGTTAAAAAGTATGAGTTCTTAAGGCTCTTGATACAGATTGCCAGACTGCTTTCCAGACAGTTTCTCCCAGTTTACCCTCCCACAACAGCTTCCCAGAGTTGGCATTAAACACTGAAAGGAGTTTCTCCTGTGAGGCTTCACTAGAAAGCTGGCTGTCCCATGGGCAGGAGGGAGCTGTGAGATGTTGTGATCGAGGTCCCCCATGCTCAGAACTAGGCCTGGAAGTACCCTCTGGCTGCAGGAGGGAGACAGTGCTGGAGGTGGCAGATGGGGGACCGCTGTGGGGGCTGACACGGTAAGGCAGGGAGAGTCGCCTGAGAGTCGCATGAGGGGACAGGGATTAGAGACTGTGGGGAGCGCTGGTTTCTGATTGGAAGGGTTAGGGTTTGAGACTGGCCTGTGGAGCACTTTGAGCCGTGGTGGGGGCGCTGAGGGTCAGCTGAAGGGTTATCTTTTTTTTTTTTTTT